GTTGTGTGTGATCTCCTCACCTTCTGCCCTTGCTCTACTTTAACACAGAGTGTGAGTGACACTTTTCTAATACTGTATTCCCCCCCGAGTCTGACCTCTGAACGGTCTCAGTTTACCAGGGCAAGGACCCAAAAAGAAGTGAAAACCACCCCGCAGGAGTGCTGACCCAGTCTAACTCGCACAAGCTGGTATTGAACACAGTCCAAGCAGCTCTGGATTAAAATCTAGTGGGTGGAAACTCCACTGCATAAGTTTATTTCACTGTTTTGTTCAAGCATTCCCAGACAGTTTTAGCCTCCTTAAAATGCACTGGCAGTGCCGACGTAAAGGGACGATCAGTCGTCCTGTAGCATTCTGTCATAAAGGGGCTCAGTGAGTGCCGTGCAAATGTAATCAACACCATCACACAGCCACCAGATTGCCGTGTTTTCACTCTGCATGATGGATGCATTTGGTCACACAACCAGAAGGAGACAGCAGGAAGTGGAACTCATCAGAGCAGGCGATGTTTTCCAGCTCTCAGCATCCAATCTTGCTGTTCCTTTCCAGTACAACCTGGAATTCTTGTTCAGTGCTGATAGAAACACAACTTAGCCGCCATACCACATTAATGGGATGGGACAGGTTACATCTTCTTCTTATTATGTTATTATGGGGTGTTTTAGCACCAATGCTGCACTGATGCTCTGTACACTTCCTGTTTGCTTGTTCTAATCTCTAACCTGACACCATAGTATCATGTTTATACACTTTTCTTCCTGTGTGTTGTATCCCATTATCATTTGCGTCTATTTTTTGTCCTGACAGGTGAAAGTAAACAGGGATGATACGTCTTTTGACCTGATTCACAAATCACATTTAATAACCAAAAACAACTATATTCTAGTCCATCTTTCATATGTTTGGACTTTTCTGCCCCATCTTTGTCAGTCATTTTTTTAAAAACAGGTCACTAGTCACTGTATATTTTCATTTTTAGAGTAGAAATGCTCAGTAATTTCTTGCTGGGCATTGCAGTTTTTAACAAATGTTACACAAGTTGGAGGAAATAGTTGGTTGATTGGTTCATTGATGCTTGGTCAGTGGCCCTTGGCGTCAGACACTGATGCACAGAGGCTCCCTTTCACAGTGGTATAAAATGCATTGGGCGGTGGCATTTTTTGACGCTCTGAGCAACTGCTGTAGCATAAAAAGTGAGAAAGTCAGCATAACGTGGATAAAAGGGGAGGTGGATGGGTTAAACAAACACTGGACTTTCAACCACGAGACCGCAGTTCATGTCTCATGTGAAACCAAAAGGCAATTGAGCTATTTTAATAGCAATGTAGTGTGTATATGACATATGTCACGTGATATTATATTACATTAGTAACACAGTAACACAGTAATCCCAGCCAGGATGTTTTTCCTGAATCTAACCATGTACTTTTGTTTATTTTAAGTTTATTTTGAAAAGAGACCATATGCATTTGCCGAGCCTAAACTGTACATTTCCTGTGAAAAAAACGGAAGTTTATTTTGAAAAGAAACAATGCATGTAAAGAGTGTACATTTACACACGGCCCCTGAATATGAAAAACTGATGCAAGAGGGGCCCTTGTGTGTCATATTTGACATGTTGGGCCCCTGACCAAGCATTGGTATGTGTTGAACATGGAGATGACAGGAATAAGCCATATCAGATTTGGCTAATTAGCTGATAATTGTTAGTAGGATCAATTGATCGTTGGTCTTGGTGTTGTCATGGCATTTGCTGACAATAAGAGAAATATCAGCTGTCTAATCCTTTGAGGGAAGATCGGCATCCCTAGTGTTTCCTACAATGCTGTAATGAAAGTACACTCTTTTATATGCTACCTCATGACGTAGAAGTAGATTCAGTAACTTTTGTAAAATGATAAGGACTTCGTAAAATATCTAAAAGACAAGATATTGTAAATAACGTCAATGACAAGATGTCTGTATCATGGTCAGATATTCTTCTCTGTTTGTGTGTGTGTTTGCCTTTCATTGGTTTTCGTACACTAGTGCATGTGTCATGTACAGTAGTGTGTGTTTCACAGTATCACAAATAAAGAGCAGCCCAAATTAAGTGCAAACCAATGTGGGTGAGAAGATGGTGACATAAATCATGAGAGATTTGTTGTTTTGGGATTCTCACACGTGAAAGTAATGCACAAGGATTCCCATCTACCATACAACCACAAACACACACACGCCTACACACACACATAAATCATCCTGTCTCCACATCTCCAGCACACATAAAGCAATATACATACAGGATCAAGTTGATCTACGACCCCTTCACACCGCTGAGCTCACCTTCTCCATCCACTCGCCTCTGCCAGTCACATCTTTCCATCAATCCCAATCTGCCAATCTGAAATAGACAATTTCACCGTTCACAGCTTGGAATAAATTACTGTTGGCATTTTATCTGAAGGGAATCACTCTACAGTACCCTGTAGACAGGTCAACTTTACTGCACTGTATGTGTGCCATTTATTTCCCCTTTAAAATAACTGGGCTGTCGATTAATGGAAAACCACCTGATAAATATTTTAGAGTGTAACTCTCAGAAAGCGTTGGTCTCTGGGTCATGTATGTATAAACTCCGAACTGTAAATCCCTTGTTTGAGGTGTAAATGTGTAAATTTATGTTTTTAGGACGTTTCAGTTTTATTGCCCAGTTTAAAACATTTGTTAGAAAATACATCAGAAAGTAATCAAATGTAATAAGTTACTTTATTTTGAGGAATAAATTAAAATAGCTACATTACATTTTTAACAGCGTAACTAGTATCCTGTAACCACTTCCATTTCAAAAGTAACTTTGCCAACGCTGCTGCTGATTCAGCTTCTCTCTCACACTTTCACTGTCTGTCATGGAAATATAAATGGTTTTTTTAGTGCTGCTTGCTTGTGTCAACAAATTGAAGCTCACTGGGGAGATGTACATATTGAAAGTATCTGTGGATATGTGTGAAATATGAACGTCACAACTGCCTATAGACTCAAAAACAAAGTTATGGTGAGCCAAATGGGGTAAAATTAAAGGAGTTTGATTAGTTTCTTTGTAACTTAATTTTCATTTTGTATTCTACTTACTACAGGAAAGAAGTCTTCTAATGATGTATGTATTAAGCATGTACATGTAGTCTTTTTTCCAGTATTGAACATGTTAAATATAATGTAGCTTTAAAGGTCCTGTACATGAAATGTACTAGAATCAAGCAGTGAATTCGCAGAACTGAAACTTCTCCCATGTGCGAACCATGTAGGAGAACTATATCCATCATTCCATTGTCCGTAACTGCTTATCCTCTTGAGGGTCGCGGGGGTGCTGGAGCCTATCCCAGCTGACATTGGGCGAGAGCCGGGGTACACCCTGGACAGGTCACCAGACTATCACAGGGCTGACACATAGAGACAGACAACCATTCACACTCACATTCACACCTACGGACAATTTAGAGTCACCAATTAACCTGCATGTCTTCGGACTGCGGGAGGAAGCCGGAGTACCCAGAGAAAACCCACACTGACATGGGGAGGACATGCAAACTCCACACCAAAGGGCTCCCTCCTGGGATTGAACCAGGAACCCTCTTGCTTTGAGGCAACAGTGCTAACCACTGCACCATCGTACCGCCCCAGAGAACTACATGCCAGTGCAAAAAGCAGATGTCCCTGTGGTGGCCAAAGTGACACAAAGTAAAAGCAACAGTGGTGATATTATTCACACGCTCACCTCACTACTTTGTTAAGAACACTAGCTAATTTTATTCGCAGGCAACCACATGCCAAACAGTTCAGATCAAATTCAAATCCACACTACACAGTTTATTTGATTGATAATCTCTTTGTTTCCTTTCAGCCACACACTGTTTAAATGGAGTTCACACATTTTCACATTGTAGGGCTAGAATGAGTTATTTTCTGTTGTATTATTCATTTTCTTTGTCCTTTGTTTGAGTTACCACGGTGCTGGGAGGTCTCTTCCTGGGGGGGGGGTTCGTATAGTTAGGTTTTCCTTTGTATTAGTTGTCGTTAGACGTCCATTATGTTTCCGCCTTTTGAGTTAGATGGTTTGAACATGCCACCATATATATGTCCCCTCATGGTTCATTTGGTGAGGTCAGTTTGTTCAGTTAAGGGACTGTGGTTTGTTGCTGTTAGTTTGAGTATAGTTCTGTTTGTTTGACCTATTCTGTAAGCCCAGTTACTAAGTTCATGGTTTGTATTGCTTTTGGCATTTTTTGGGTAAGTAAAATCCTAAATTTCCAACCAAATCCTGTTTTCTCACCGCCTCACTGCTCAGTCCCTGACAGGCCCTATACAGAGCCTGTGTTTGATTTGTCCTGTTTCCCCCACCGAACAAGCTTTTTGACGACTGTGGGATTAAAATATTCAATACTGTTTTGATACAAGATCTATCATGGCCTGGTGGAACTTAAACATTAAATAAAAAAGTTAAATAAATAGTTAAATAAAGTTTGTCATCTATCATCTATTTAAAAAGGATGTAGCAACCTCTCTTATCTTTCATTTGGGCGGTCGCTTCAAAATGTATTTATTTATTTAACCTTTATTTAACCAGGAAGTTCCAATGAGATTGAAAATGTCTTTTACAAGAGAGACCTGGCCAAAGTAGCAGCCAATCAAAACACATTAAAAATGCAACCAATACAACATATAATACAAAATCCACAGTAAAACATTAACTATTCAAACATAGTGGCCTCTCAAGAAAAACAGGCACATGTCTCTGTCACCACATTCTTTATGATGCCCTTAAATTCATCAGTGTTTCTAATTTTAGATCATTTTTAAGATTGAAAATGTAGCTTGTTAGGGAGTGATATGGCCTCTCTGCTCTCATGCCCTGATTTTAGAGAGGACTACTGTGTAATTATGGTTTATATATCTCTGCATTGCTTGACATTGTCACTCTAGTGTGTGTCTTGGTGTTACCTTGTGCTTTTGTGTGTCTCCAGTCCAGAAACAGTCTCCAGGTGGGGGACATCGACGGGGCCAGGAGGCTGGGTCGACTGGCACGTCTGCTCAGTATCGTCGCCATCGTCCTTGGCGTTGTCATCATCGTAGCCTATGGCTCATTTGCAGGTACAGAAACAAGGACAAGGACAAATTTAAAAATACAATGATGGCTAGATTTCATGTTTGTGCTAATTAAACATGTACGGACAATATTAATGAAGTCTCAATGATATGAAGTAAGAATAGAGTCAAGTATTGTAGTTGTGTATGACCATATTTGACTGTATTTGTTCAGATATGTTTTACCGATACAAACATTTGACTGTATTCATACAAAATGTTTTTACACTGTCAGATATGGTCATACAAAGCTACAGTATTTTTGACTCTATTCTGACTCCATACAATGATGCACTGTGAATCAAACTGCATTAGATTAGTTTTATGGCTACAGTAGTCTGGCTTATGAATATGCAAAGAGTTCTAACTTGAATATGATGCGTGGTCTCGCGCACATGTCCACTCACAGTCTCACACAAGCCTTTAACAACAAGTGTTCACCGACAAAGAATACCTACTGCATTACGATTACAGGGTGATATATGACACTACCACACAAGCATGAGATGTGTGTTTTTTTACGTCTTAACTCAGCACATTTCCAAGGCGTGTGTGTGTGCGCAGATTGATTCAGCACTGCAGCGGCTGTAGTGGGCTGACTGTGCAACAAGGGCGATTGGCCCTGCTGCTCAAAGCCTTCGACACTTGAGCTGCAGTCAGAGTAATGAATCTAATGGTGAGTTTAAGCTGTCTGTGTGTGTACGATGACTTTGTCTGACGATGGCACTCTTCTCCTCTCCCCTCTTTAGCTGTAAACCATTGACATGGAGGACCCGAGGGGAAGAAATGAACCATGAAAGCCGAACCACGGATGCAACAAGGGGGGGAAAAGCTCATTCCAAAACAAACAACAACAAAAAAAAAACAAGTAATACAGTTCCTAACATTATGCCATATTGTAATTACATCATGACCGACCTCAGACAGCAAAAAAAAAATAGGCAACTCGAGAGAGTAAGCAAGTAAATACATTCAGAGAAAAAATCAGAGATGCATGCATTCAGTAACATTTGCTTGACAAAAATAACAAAGAACCTGATGTAAACTTGTGCGGGTTAAAACAGAGGAAAAGAAAATACAGATTTGTATGTGCCCAGAAGGACTCACAAATGTTTCTTTATGGAGTAATGGACTTCTTAAAACGAAGAAAACAATCTACAGATGAGAGGAGAATGAACGACAGACATTTTCTGTGTCCGTGCTTCTTTGAAAAACAGACTTTGGGGTGGGCTTCAGACAGCTGCATATAATCCGCGTATAAACCTCTTGCATTCACAGCATATACAGCTACAAATATATTTGAAATATGGATATATGACTATATATATATATATACACAGATGTACATTTTATAAACTGTTTGTATGCCAAGTGGTGCTGGGTTTGTTAAGACTGTCACAACGGCTGCTTTGTCAGCACTTGGATTATCACTGGAAATTCAAGGGTTTGTGAAAAAGGGGCAGGGACACATTTTTAATTTTTATTATTTATTATAATTTTTTGAACTAAAAAAGAAAATTGAGACCAACTGCATGCGTGAATGTAGATAACCAAACTCCTGCCTTCGTTTTGACTGTTATAAGTTGTCTCTTTTCTTATTGAGGAGTGGAAGAGGCTAACAGGTTTGCACATGGAGGAGTGATTTGTGTATGTCCACTGTAGAATGTGTGAGGACTGGGACCTTAACCCGCAAACACAACCCCCCCCCCCCCCTTTATATCCCTGAAATCTCTTGAACCTTGCCTTGCTGTGGCAGAGACTGAAATGCATGCCAAACTTCCCAGATTCCTTCTTTTCCTTTTACATCACTCCACAAACCTGATTTAGCAGCCGCAGGCCATCATCTTGTCCCCCTAAACTCCATTTTACACTCTACCTTTCTACAGCATAGCGCCCCATTTTCCATTCTTACATTGTTATACATCGATTGTTAAATGCCATTGTTTCACTGAATGTTTTTTTCTGCTCCTTGTATTGGTATGAAATGTATTTATATGGGAAAATATATATGCAATATGTACGCATGCTATGAGCCAAACAGGCTGACACTTATTTATGTTCTTTTGTAAATGAACAGGCCGATGAGTTTGACTGAATAACGACAAAAAAAAGCATTTAAAGAACCTTTCTTTGAACTCCGAGCACGACAGATTGTCTGTATTTGTCACTTTATCAGAGAGAAAACACTGTGGCTACACAGGACTGTTGTATTGACAAATTACAGGCTTATGCTACAAGCACAGGTAACATCACTGTAAGACCATGTCGCGTTATTTTGATCCACAGCTTTCCTTTGGGCATTAATGTTTTTTATTTTTTATATCTTGTGCAGTTTAAATCAGGAATCATTTGGACAACGTTGCTTTAAAGTGATAAAATGTTTGTTTAAATGGCTCGTACAAGTGAAACGAGAAACACCAGCTAATTTCAACTAATGAGGGACAAAATGTGTCAGACAGTTGAAGAGATTCTACCAACTACCAACGTGTGCTGTAAACTATCACTACTAAAATGCACAATGTTTTGTGTGATCCAGGCTTTTATCGGCTCCATTCAATTCATAATTGTACATAAAAATCTTTATCCAAACATCTGAACGCAGCAAAATCCAAAGATTCCCCATTTTTACTACCAAACTAAAAAAATGTCACATCACACTGTTGCCAAAATGGTAACACGTGTGTGTGTAATTTCTGTCAATCACACCGAATGTAGTTCACCGCTCTAGTGTTTCTCTCTAACATAAAAACTTTCCATCACTGAAACTGGTGTCTAAGAGCCAACCGTCTAGCCTATAAGCTCTGCTCTGTCAGTAAAACAGTTCATTTCATTCCAATATGTTACTGTGTTTCTTTGCCAGTGTACTGTACGTGCCAGTTTTCATCTCTGTGGTGTACATTTTGCATGTCTGGAATAAATGTTACCATGCATGGTCCAAGTTTTTGCCTTTTGATGATGCTGTTTATGAGGAGTTGTGTGTTGACAGCCAGAAATGAGTGTAGAGGACTCAATTAGAAGTGTTTAGCAGCTCTATGAGGCGGTATTTAGGCACAGAAGAAATGTAATCGTGCTTACAATAACAATGCTAACATGTTAATGTTTAGCAGGTTGAATGTTCGAGCAGATCAGCATGCTAACTTTTACTAATTGGCACTGAATACAAAGTACATCTGAAGCTGATGGGGAGTGTATTCAATCATAAACCAAAGTAGGGGAGACCGGGTATGGCTGTAACAATGAGATAGTTCTAACAGCACCATTTTCACAAAGAAGAGATGAGTACATTTGTAACCACTTATTTTCTGACTCTGCATGTGAGATTTTATAACGTGTTAAGAAGTGTGCAGAGTTTACAGCCAAAACACTGATATTCTAACCTGGAAATCCAGATGCCCCACCCCTAGCACATTCGAATTTGCTCTGCATGGGAATCTGGCCCTGACGAGCAGAGCCCACTGAATTGCCAATCAGACCAATCAGATCAGTCTATCTGACAGAGGCGGGCTCTGGGCGGGCGTAACATGATGACGACAGCGCTGCGCCGTGAGAGTCAAAAAGTAAACAGCCAAGATGGCAGCTGCCGGAGGACCGCGTCCATTCAATTTATATTTGGAAGAAACGCTAAGCCAACTACACCTATCTTTTTCCTTGAGAGAGGAACAGAAGACTGCCCTAGAAGCCTTCGCTTCCAGGAAGGAAGTTTTTGCTGTTTTGCCGACGGGATATGGCAAAAGCATAATATATCAGTTAGCCCCACTGGTCGGCAAACAAATGGGGCTTAGTGCAATGAATACTTTACCTTGTTTTTTGCTCTGATTGGCCATCGTGCTATCCAATTGTGTGCGGCGGCATTTGAAATGCCTGAGTCAGTGCTGCCCCTTGGGTAGGAAGGGTGTATCGGTGAGGCCAGACTCAAAATCTTTCTAGATTTGAGTCTGGATTTCCAGGCTACTGATATTCAGGTATGAAAGTAAATTTTTTGACCAAGTCTAGTGAAACTAGAATTATGTAACCTGTATCAGATTAGAGAGTAGTCTCTTGGGTAAAATGTGAGGCACTTCGTCTTTCATACCACCATGCTGCTACAGCTCGCTAAACACTGGATGACTTTTATGAATGTGTTATAACTAAACCCAATGAGAACAAAGCAGATTTTATCTATCATACTCCTTTTTTCGGCAGGCCAGGAAAGTAGGTGAGACAAACTGAGGGGTGTGCTTGCACATAATATCAGCATCAGATGAGGTCAGGCAGGGAAAGACAGTAAAGTCTGTCCCTAGATAATTCTCTTTCTGACTGAGCAGACACCGCAAGAAATTACAAAACCTTAGAGAAAGAGGATCAACACAGCTGCTCTGAGTGAGCTATCACAGCTGTTAAAACGTCTTAAATGTGCCACAAGAGGATCAAGTCAAGTAAACAGTCAGGACGACTGTTTACTTGACCGAGGCAGCACTCTTGTATTTTCAACTTTCTCCACATGAGGTACAAAGCATCTAACAGGTACAGGTTAGCAGGTTAGACCTCAGAAGGAACTGTTATTAGTGTATGTAACAGGTCTCAATGTGTTTTTTTTTTTTTTTTAATTTTGTCATTTTTAATTCTTCTCTCGTCTTCTTACAACTCACCCATCAGTTAACAAATTCTGTGATGTGGTTGGAGAAGCTGGAAACATTGATATTTGCAGTACAAAAGTAGGGTACTTTGAGTCAAAAATTGAGAGCTCTAACACAAAAATTCAGCAAGTTTTAAGAGCTATGCATAGACTGTAAAAATAGAAAATAATGGATGTAGCGACCATGACGTCTCCCACTGGTTTGTGGACATTTTGAAGCCTGATGTTTGCTATATTGGCCATCACCACCTTGTTTTTTGGAGCCAGAAGTGACCATTTTTGGGCGAGAGGCTGGCGCTGTGGATCTGACTGAGAAGACAAGGACACTATCAGCAGACTGCCTGTAGGCCAAACACACCAGTGGAGAACGCCGCACATCAAAACAATGCGCCACTATTATCTTCAACCTACAACAGCACAACTGAGGAGGCTAGACAGCACTTCACACCACTGATCTGTTTCAAGCCTCACTGCCACTTGAATTAAATGCATTTTATCCCCAGTCGCTCTCTGCGTGTACATACCAGCTCCCACAGCAGCTCTTTTTCTCTGCTCCTATAGCAGCTCAACTCCTCTCCTCACCATGGATGTATAAAGAGAACTCTCTAGCTGTTGCTGTCATGTGTGAAAAAGAATAGATGATAAGAGTCTTGTTGTTAAGGTCGAGAAATATCACAAGCTTAACAACCCACAATCCCATCATATTAAGACAATGGCCAAAAAGGTATTGCCTGGTGAGTCATAGCTCTCTTCAGGTGAGAATTAGGGTCTGTCGTGTCCACACGATTTTAAGCTAATGCAAAAGTGAAGGAAGCACAGATCTTCTGATGCAGCAGCGCCATGTTTTCCCTGTATTTGTTGAGAGTTGTCACTCAAAGCGGCTAGCCTTTAATTTTGCCTTACTTGACAAAACGCAAACAGGTGAGTCAAATAAACATTCAACCCCTGTACAGTCGTGAGAAGGTGGAAATTAGCTACAGGGACCAAAAACATTTCCTGCACCAGGCTGTAAACATGTTTATTTCTGCTGTAAATTTGGGCATGTTAACATGAGGGTCTACAGGTATTGACTGTCTTCAGGAGCCAGCCCCAAGTGGCCATTCAAGGAACTGTAGTTTTTTCGGCACTTCCATGGTGGATTTATCTTTTAACCCTGGTGACTGCCACTTAGTGCTGAGAGTGTTAGAACCACACCTGTTCTCATCCATTCATGAAAAACCAAAAATGCCAACCCCACGATGGTGCTAGAGGTAATGTCAGAGAAAGTCAGAGGGCTTTTTCCTCTGCGGACCATGACCATGTGTACAAAATGCCAAAGCCATCCATCCAGTAGTTACTGATTTTTCAGTCTGGACCAAAAATGGTGGACCAAGCAACACACCAATTTCACCACCCATGCCTTATAGAGAGTGAACTATTTGAACAAAAAAAGTCATTAATTACTAAAAATGGTTATGGTCAAGAAAAGAGGTAGAAACATTATAATAATGTAAGCACAGTTCCTCTCACCTGTACAGTGTGATAAAGGATTATATTGTGAATACAGTATTACTGTGTAATGTTCAGTTATTGAGACTGAATCAGAGCGATTGATTCAACTCTGCAGTGCTGTTGTATTGGATTGCACTATATTGTTGCTGCTGCTTCCCTGTACATACAGCAGGGCCTGATACACAATTGTGCCTTAGGGCACACAAACACCATTTATCATGGCTGCCACTACAGTGGGTTATAAATGGCTCTGTTGGAAAAAAGGGGAAAATGAAGAATTCATGACAGATTTTGTGCTTTTAAAGCCAGCTCCCAGCACCTACACACTCTGCAGAGTCGCTGCCTGATGCAATCCTGAAACACAAAAACCTGCATCTTTTCTACTATTACAGGTAAAAGCTTTCTGGGTTCAGATACAGATTCTTGGTTCTTTAATTTGCCAAAAGAATGAACCTGTCTGTCCTGTACCTCACACTCCAAAAGCCTTTTAACCCATCAGGAAACATGGGCAGAGAAAAGTGATGGAGACCATTGTGTCATCAGACGAGTGAAGCATCCCTTTTCTTTCACAAACACAGCTTAAAATAGCCGTTTTGTTTCTACAGAGACACAGACAACCAGCCTTCTGTCTTACATGCCAGCTGCTGAATAAACTAACTCTGTGCTTGTCAGAAGTTACTGTGGCGCGACCCTTCTAAGTGAGAGGATCTGGCGCTTAGTTCTGCTTGGGTGGTGTTCACTTTGAGTGGCTGGCATATTCAGGAGCTCAATGCATCAGCAGACTTACATGTCTGGACCAAATTTAGATTTAAACACAGGGTTTCCCTTCTGAAGAAAGTTCAGGGGAAGATGGCAAAGCTTGTCTGGCTACTGTTTTCTTTACTTTGTCTTTCTTTGCAAAGAAGGCATCAAAGAGAGGGAATGAGGACAAGAAACCAAATTTATCCTCTTCAGCCCACTGAAGTGAGTCTGACGCTGTGAGACAACACATTGATGTTTCTCACACAGCTGCCGTGCTTTCACATTGCTGTAATCACTGTAATCATCCCCTCCTCACATGAATGCTTTAGTTCCCACCTTCAAAGGCAAATGTCACTTTGTGTTTAGGGTGGAGTGAAATCAAATAAGAGATTCATGGGCTCTGCCAGGCACACTATATGTGCCGAACATTTAACCCCCTCAACAGCCGATTATCAAAGCAGTATGTCTCTATTTTTCTTCTATAGAAACCTAGACGTAGTGCACTAAGGGTGAAAGAACTGGTTTGGTGTTGAAGACATTTCACTCCTCAAAGAAGCTTCATCAAAAATGCTTATTTCACATGAATCTGATAGCCGTCATGGCTGACCTTAACGACTCAAAGGTCTGTCAGTCAGCAGATCTGATGAAGCCTCTTGGATAAGTCACCAAACCAAAGGAAACACAAGAACTGCTTTTACCTTTTACTTTTTATATACCTATATTTCAGTTGATTAATCAGTTAATAATTTGCTTTATAAAATTTCAAAAAAGTGAAGAATGCCAATACAAAATTGCTTTGTTTAACCAGTGCTCCAAAACCCAAAGATATACAGTCTATTGTATTTTACAACAAGGCAGAACATTTTCCCAGTTTAGAGGCTGTTCGTAATTTTTGTTTTAGAAGTTATATTACTTTTAATATCAAAATGGTTGCCTGTTCATTTTCTTTTGATATGTCACATTAATTCAGTGTCACTTTCAAGTGTCTTGGTGCAAGGTTCTTGGTTCAAGTCCAGCCACAGACCTTATTTTCTCACTCTATCTAGCATTGGACAGCTGTGGTTCAGGAGGTAGAGTGGGTTGTCTATTAATTGGAAAATGAGCGGGTCAATCTCTAGCTCCTCCAGCCCGCATGTGGAAGTACCTTGAACAAGATACTGAACCCCAAATTGCTCCCAGTGGTTTGTGGCTGTGTTTCAGCTGAGTACCAGGTGGCACCGTGAATGGTAGGCCCCAGCCACCAGTGTGAAACTGTGAGACATATAGTGTTATAAGCACTTTGAGTGATCACATGACTAGAGAGGTACTATAGAAGTGAAGGTCTATTTTACCATAACCACTACCAACTCTGTAATAGAGGTATGAAGTACTAAAAACTAGAATTACCACCTCGCAAATATGTGTTTCCACAAACAAGTCAAGTTGGAGTTACAGTTTACATCTATGTCTGTCCTGACTGATCTGTAGCCATGACAGTGGACAGTGGTTCAAATATGGATGTTGATGCAAAAAAGCTACATATTCTAAAACATGGATGCTTCACACACACCTTCACCCCAGCAGCACAGAAGATCTCTACTATTAGCACAATTTCAAAGTGGAACACCCAAGAACAGTGTCATCAATCAAATATCCGACCAAGTATCTCCCCTTGTGTTCCCTGAGTTACGGTGTTGAATAATGGCCAGAGAAGGGTTTTTGCAGAACATTATAATGTCACAGTGAAACTGACCTTTGACCTTTTGGATATAAAATGTCACTTACTCTTAATTTTATTCTATTAGACACATGTGTGAAGTTTGTCATAATTAGTCCAACCATTTTTAAGTTAAGGCCAAAAGCATGTTTTGGGACCTTTGATCACCAAAATCCAATCAGTTCATTGTTGAGTCCAAGTGGACGTTTGTGCCAAATTAGAGAAAATTCCCTCAAGGCCTTCTTAAGACATTGCATTCATAGGAATGGGATCGATGAGAGGTCACATTGACTTTGACCTTTGACCACCAAAATCTAATCAGTTGATTCTTAAGTCCATGTGGCTGTTTGTGCCAAATTTGAGGAAATTCTCTCAAGGCCTTCAAAAGACATTGCATTCATGGGAATGAGACAGATGAGAAGTCAGTGACTTTGACCTTTGACTACTAAAATCCAATCAGTTCATCCCTGAGTACATGTGGCTGTTTGTGCCAAATTTGAGCTATTTCCTCAACGCCTTCTTGAAATAAGCCGTTTAAAAATATGGGACAGACAGACAACCTGAAAACATAATGCCTCCAGCCACAGCTGTTGCTGGCATGGACGCATAAACACAGCTGTAATATTTTTTGAGACAGAAATGTAGAAATGGAAATGTTTGAGCCCTGCTGTGGCATCCTGTTCGTTAAATTTGCTCAGAAATGAGAAGGCCCAATATGCTTTTCAGTTCCCATCATATATTTTGAAAAATAAAATGTTTGAGTGTTCAGTATCTAGTAGTGTCACACACTTTTTTACACATACCGATATGAATAATTTATTAATTCACATTTTACAGCCCACAATGAACTATGCATCCCACTTCATCAATTAAAAAGGACCATTCAACTAAAAATCCTTCAACCTGTGGAAAAGAATTATCATCTTTCATTCTCTCAGTCTCTTCACACTTCCCTGTTTCTCTCCAAGTGAGTTATCAATATAATTGATTAAAATCTAGTCTTATTTGTACTTTTGGTCTCCATTCACTTGTTGGCAGCCCTCCATCTGTCCCACTGCTAAATACAAGTTCAGTAGTTCGTGTTGGCCAAATCTGTTCCTGTCCAGGAACCGGACCAACTGAATGTCCTTCTGCTCAGGAGCCTCCAGGGTCCTCCAATCATTGAGCTCAGTCTCCTGGGGTTCCCATGTTACAAAGAGCAGATCAATCCTGCTCCTTTAAAGATGTCACCAGGATCTGCTTTCAGTGAAAAGCGTAGAGCAGGAGGAGAATGGTGCAGACGCCGATCACTGAGCCAAGGATGAGAGAGTCCCTTCTCTTCCGCAGGTTGATTCGCTGGATGAGATTGTTGATGGTTGGGAAACGGTCTGAGAGAGTCACAGGTTAAGGAAGATCACACATATATAAATTACAAAACATCTTACATTTGATAGCAGATACGGATCAAACACCTTGGCTGTCAATACCTCGTAAAAACCTAAACGAGTGCGAAATACTGAAGATTGCAGGATTTTAACTGGGGCTGGTCTGGAGACTTGACGAAGCTCAGTGCTGACATGAACTAACACTGTGGAAAAGTGAAACTCCCCTTCTCAACCTGCTGTAGACCTTTACTGCATTGTTTGACCTCTACAAATCAAAAGATAATTTGGGTGAATGGCCCAGCTGCTTCCTGATACAACCCCCATAAATCCTGCTAACAAGGACCCACTGTCCATCACTGAAAAGCAATATGTTAGCACTGATTTCTGATTACATACCAGGAACCCTTCAGCTTCCAATATACTGTGTGTTCTTCTTTTTGCCCCCTCCTACACACACAACCATGCACACGAGCAACACAAAGGATACTGGCCAGTGTGTTGACCCGGCTCTGTATGGATTTCAGCATGCCCCTTTGGGAGGTCATATTCTCCTTGGTCGCCATGGCAATGCTAAAGAGGCAGAGAGAGAAATGAGTTAAGAAATGATAATATGCTGCATGTAGCTGCAGTTATTAGTACTGTAAAGTGCCTCCGACTGCCACATATGATTAGTAACTCAATTCTAACAGCGGATTTTTTTTTGAGAAATGAGTGTCCAGTTTAAAGGATAAGAGGAGGCGTAGTTTGACGCTGTAAAGAAGAACAACAGAACCATCTAAATTATGTCTTAGTATTAAGAAAATGTCCCTTCATGTAAATTCTAGCACCATGTCTAGAAGAAAGCTCTGGGTTGAGACCCTGTCTACACGTATACAGATATTTGCAAAACTTCTGTATTTTTGCCTCTTGTCCACATGCATGAGTTGTAGGTCACTAAAACAAAGATATTTTTAAACTCCTTTCAAGATGCAGAGATTTCAAAACTCTGGTTACTTTGCATCTGTGTAGATGTGTAAAACGGAGCATTTGGGAAACGATACCATCATCTTCTCAATTTGCACATGCCCTTTGTTGCTTTATGTAATGGGCATGAGCCTGAAACAACTGCAGACTACCTGTTTCTTGAAGTGTTGCTAGCATTGCTTGGTCTAATGACTATTTTACACTTCATGGACGTTTGGAGGCATCAGCTGCACCCAGGGATTTTGCTCCACCTCAGTGTCTGTGGTTTTATGCCAGAACTGTAGGTTTTCATAATCAGGACCAGCCAAACCAGCAGACGGTGGAACAATTTTGAGAGTGGGATTGTTGTCGATGAAGAGTGAAAGGAAAACTTAAGCATGTCCAGAGTATCACCTGTATCTTAGAGTAAGCCCCTTCGTCTTTATATCAAAGGGGAGTCATCGGTGATGAGATCTCCAGTAGGTTTTTTTTTTTTGGAGTTGTTTTGTGTTCCGGTGTAGATGGGGATATTTTGTAAAATGACGGTCGTGTGGACAGTTTTTTTTTTTGTTTTATATTTATTTTTTTATATATATTTGTTTTTGGTGCAGGAAAGCATATCTGTGATCCAAGAAAATACAGTTTCTAAACCAAATTATTGTGTCAGCTGAAACTAAATAAAAAATGGAGAGAAAACTTCTTGCAGATATCTGATTTAAAATCAACGTAGTTGTGTTGAAATATTGCATCTCACTCTGGCAAGTCCAAAACTGTTTAAATTAAATTAAATCAATCCCAAATAAAATATTTCATCAAATATTTTGCCTGCTGAAAGAAGTTAAATGCATTTTCCCAATCACATTTTTTTTTTTTTTTTTTGCATCCGATCGTTATTTTGAAACCGAGTCCGATCCGATACTTTGCAAAGCATTAAGAAAAAAAAAAAGAATGCATCCAAGTTGTCCCATAAGGTTTGTTTTTTATTTAAATAGTATCCAAAAAGCTTATCGGTGGTTCAGCAGCACAAAATTTAAACAAATTCTGAATTGTAAACAAATTGTCCCTCCAGAGTTGCTGTAGGGCTGTGGTAGGAGAGGTTCCGCTGTTAGGTGTGGCTATGTTGTTTGGAATAAAGAGAGAAGCGGTGGCCGCTGAACCTGTTGTCTCGACTCCTGTCCGTTTATTGCTCATTAGCTGCACTCAGTTAGGCGAACCTCGCACGCTCGATTACAATACATTGGAAAGCAGAGGCAACAATGAACAACATAGATAAAAAAACCTGGCCATATTTTGTTGTTTTGATTCCTCTGATCTTTTATTACTGATTTCGATTTTGTAAAAATAACGTGATCGGTGCCGATACCCGATCTGACATCCCTAGTTTTCACTTATGTGGCTCCATCTAATACACATCCATTCACACTGAACATTATAGGATGTGAGACAACATCGGACTGAAACATAGTTGGCAAATACTGATATGCTCCTGTGCCGTGATTAAAAACAGGTACTGAAAGACTACACATTTGTATGGACCTCCATGCTTCAAGGAAATGGGATGAAATGTAATTCCGTCTCACACATTCTCCTTGGGTGCCTACAATATGTGTGTAAGCCGCCTTGGCTTGTAAAAGGAGGGTATAGAATTGCTGTGATATTGTAGCTCTCTTGTTCTCAATCTTGGGCCTCAGCAACTTTCCTTGCAGGAAAGTGCAGCTGGGCATTTGGCAGGAAAACTTTCAGGCTCTGTGTTTGTCCTCGGTGGCATCTGTTACACACAATAATCAATGGCAGCTACTGAGCCGACACTTGATCCCTCCACAGTGGGAGTATTTAAGTTAAAGAATCAGCTCCCTGAAACCACCAAAGTAAATATACTTAAGTAAAGTGTTAATATGCTCAAAAACAGGTGGCACAGCAGCACTGTGTACCTCCTGAACAGCAGGATGGGAACCAGTAAGCACTAGCCACAGGGTACAAACCCCTCCCATAGCAGAGGGACAGAGCCCCATAGGAGGCAGGTCAAAACAATGAAATCATCACAGTTGTTTACTCTTGGCCTGAAAAGCTGATTAGCAGCAGGTCTAAAGAGAATGTGTGTGTGTGTGTGTGTGTGTGTGTGTGTGTGTGTGTGTGTGTGTGTGTGAGGTCATGGCATCTCCTGACAGTCCACAGTCTTGGCCTGGAACAGTGTTTTGGGGATCGTGTTCTCCTCAGTCAGGAATAAACACTTTGCTGACTCCAGCACCTCGTCAAGCCTTTATCTCAATGTTAACCAGCTCATGAGAATCAGAGCTGGAGGAGAAAGACTCCCTGAACACACACACACACACACACACACACACACACACACTGTATGTGATCAGTCAGTGAACCGTTGTTTAAAAGTGATCCAGGAGTGGTCTCAATTTGTCAAATTTTCAAGTGAAGTCCAATTATATTTACATAACCAAAAACCCCAAACCAATAATTCTGCCTCAGAGGGTTTTACAATCAAAATTTACGACACCCTCCTCAGACAAGAAAAACGCCATAAAAAAATAACCTCTAACATAAAAAAAACCCAACTTATTAAAAAAGTAATTCTGTATAAGAGCCGCCTTAGCATTTATTTCAAGGTTGTTCTGTGTTATGATATGCACCACAGGGAAATGGAAATTAGAGTTGTCAGCAAAGGTCACCACAGAAAGAGGACACTCCATAGACATTAAAAAGTTGGGTACTTTTCATTTTAATATCACCCCACAAAGCAAAACAGGCAGGTAGCAGGTAAGAAAAAAAAAAAAAAAAAAACCCAACCTTTTAACCTGTATTCAAAATGCAGGTGGAGAGAGATATGGAATAGACCGTTTCATTTATTATTTATTATTATTATCATCTCGTTTGAGGACATTGGGACTTTATTATCATCTTGTTTGAGAACACTGTGACTTTATTATCGTCTCGTTTGAGAACATCAAGACTATTATCATCTTGTTTGAGGACATTGTGACTTTATTATCGTCTCATTGGAGGACATCGTGACTTTATTATCATCTCGTTTGAGGACATTGTGACTTTATTATCGTCTCGTTTGAGAACATTGTGACTTTATTATCATCTCGTTTGAGGACATCGGGACTTTATTATCGTCTCGTTGGAGGACATCGTGACTTTATTATCATCTTGTTTGAGAACATTGTGGCTTTATTATCATCTCGTTTGAGGACATTGTGACTTTATTATCATCTCGTTTGAGGACATTGTGACTTTATTATCGTCTCGTTTGAGGACATTGTGACTTTATTATCATCTCGTTTGAGGACATTGTGACTTTATTATCGTCTCGTTTGAGGACATTGTGACTTTATTATCATCTCGTTTGAGGACATCGGGACTTTATTATCGTCTCGTTGGAGGACATCGTGACTTTATTATCATCTTGTTTGAGAACATTGTGACTTTATTATCATCTCGTTTGAGGACATTGTGACTTTATTATCATCTCGTTTGAGGACATTGTGACTTTATTATCATCTCGTTTGAGGACATTGTGACTTTATTATCGTCTCGTTTGAGGACATTGTGACTTTATTATCGTCTCGTTTGAGGACATCGTGACTTTATTATCGTCTCGTTGGAGGACATCGTGACTTTATTATCATCTTGTTTGAGAACATTGTGACTTTATTATCATCTCGTTTGAGGACATTGTGACTTTATTATCATCTCGTTTGAGGACATTGTGACTTTATTATCATCTCGTTTGAGGACACTGTGATTTTATCGTCTCGTTTGAGGACAATGTGACTTTATTATCATCTCGTTTGAGAACATTGTGACTTTATTATCGTCTCATTTGAGGACATTGTGACTTTATTGTCTCGTTTGAGGACATTGGGAGTTCATTATCGTCTCGTTTGAGAACATCCTGACTTTATTATCATCTCGTTTGAGGACATTGTGACTTTATTATCGTCTCGTTTGAGAACATTGTCACTTCATTATCATCTTGTTTGAGGACATTGTGATTTTATCGTCTCATTTGAGGACATTGGGACTTCATTGTCGTCTAGTTTGAGGACATTGGGACTTTATTATCGTCTCGTTTGAGGACATTGTGACTTTATTATCATCTCGTTTGAGGACATCGTGACTTTATTGTCTCATTTGAGGACATTGGGAGTTCATTATCATCTAGTTTGAGGACATTGGGACTTGATTATCGTCTCGTTTGAGAACATCTTGACTTTGTTATCATCTCGTTTTAGGACAATGTGACTTTATTATCATCTCATTTAAGGATATTGGGACTTTATTATCGTCTCGTTTGAGGACATAGGGACTTTATTATCGTCTTGTTTGAGGACATTGGGACTTAATTATCCTCTCATTTGAGGACATCGGGACTTAATTATCATCTGTTTGAGGACATTGGGACATGATTATAGTTGACAGTGTTTTGTTTTTTATACTTATGTGGTCCTACTGCTCCCAAATAGCTAGGAGAAAATTAAAAATGCATACCAAACAAAAGTTCAGGTCTCAGGAGGATAATATTTTGAGGGTTAGGATGAAGAAATGCAATGGTATAGGTTGGTTTTAAAAAGGAGGGAAAATGAGCAATTAGATGAAAGAAAGGAATGAAAATAAGGGGAGAAATACCACACAGCATCATCCACCATTTCAGAGACAAATTCCACCAGTTAGACCGCTGCCCAAGCCAATCTCTGGGTAAGCATAGCTTACAAGATGTAAGGACTGGAAATGGAAAAGGCAACAGTTGGAAGAGGACCAGGGGAGGAAGATGACAGAAAACAGTCTGGGAAGAGGGAGGATAAATTCTCAGCCACATATTTGTCATCTGTGCAGGTCTGCAGGGAGGGAAAGGAGCAGGGAGTCGTGAGAGATGGATGGTAACTATAAATCAGTGAAGTGGGAGGGCTTATTCTGAGTACGTGACCATGCCATTCATTGTATGCACCCACAACATGATGTGACGAGCAGTTGGCGCACTTCCAAGACTTTGATGTGTATGGTACTCTTCGAGTTAAATCATCGGTACAAACAATGAGCAACGGCATTTAAAAATTAATTGATCAAAAGAAAACAATGCTCAAAACAATACCCATAAAACCTTCGGGGAAGAAGTAAGCTGTAACTCCTGAGGAGCACTACAGTAAGAGACATCTACAAAGTAAAAAATTTTTCTGCACTGGTAATAACAGGCTGACTTTAAAGGTTGGGAATGTCACAATAACCCCATCACCGCAATGCCATGGTCACGTCATGCTATACCAGTGATTAAGTCATCATAGTCTTCACAGCATTTCTTTTGTTTTTTTTTTGGAGCCCAGATAATAAATTCATTGAAAAACTGCTCTGTTTTGGCTCTGATGCAGCCCCCCTGTCTGCAGTCTCCACTCTGCTGTAGCCCCCCACAGCACTGATTGGTTACACGTCATGTGCAATAGCCTATCAGCACTGAGGGCTGCCGTGCCACAGACAGCAAAGACAGAGATTGGAGCTATGTCGTAAGTGAGTGGACTCGGAACTGTGTGTGGATGTAATACAACAAATAACACCAAAATTGTAATAAACATCACAGTCTCCTATACTGAGGCTGCAAAACTGACCAGTGATTCTGCTGGTTATGTCAGAAATAGTAGTAACTGGATGTAACGTCAGTTGTACGACTACAAGAACTGCAAAGAGAAGACGAGGGAGTGAGACAGTGCCTGGATGCGGCAAGAGATGTGACCAGATTATCATAGTATTAAAGCTCAGTGACGATACAGATATTTCATGCACCAGATGTACATAACACAGGCTTGCTGATGGGCATTCAGTGCACGTTGGACTGTTTATATCAGTCATCCATCTCGTCACTGTCTTTGGGGAGAGAATCCAATCTGCAGTGTAGTTCATACACTTCACTGATAAATCAGAGGATTATACAGCAACATTCATGATGTACACGCACATAATGCACTGTGCGAGGACACCACGTGTCAACAGGGGCTCTATAAAGTCCAATAAAAAGTAAAGACCATAATTTTCCATTTGATCAATACAACCAAAACCCTGGTACTGCAAAAGTGTGTGGACGCATTCAGCTGTAAATTGATTTACTTTCAGATTCTGGATTCATTTTAGATTATTCTAGTGTCCGTGGTGTTTCGTCCTGACTGCAACAATAAAACCTTTTGAATTTGTGACTGCTATGACTGGCAATTCCAGTTGGATAGCTGGTGTTTGCAATAACAATGGCTGCTGAGCCTCTTGGGTACAGTGGGAGTTAGAAATGACTGCTATACTAAACACAAAAACATAATTTCTTGGAAATGAATTTGAAATATTACAACCATTTGTCATAAGATAAAACTACAATTGAATTAAATCATTCAGGAGTGAGCTGTGTTTCTGAGAGTAGGTGTTTCTGTGATGATCTGGAGAATGCAAGGATGAGGCCGATCACGGAGTTCTTTCTTAATGCACGAAATACATACTAACAATTTCTATGTAAGGAACATTTCGGCACTAACTGCTCTGCCCATTTTTCTTCTTTTGTCTTTAATTTTCAGATGATAAAGGCTGAAAAAGATACTGTTCGCTTCTTTTTTTGTCAGTAGGCTGTGTCCTACAGCAGCAAAAAGAATATAGTTTGATTATACATGTCCAGTAGTTTATTACAATTTTCCTATATTGCAGTTGCAGGACAATTCTTTGGTTATATTTATTAATTACCTCATTCAGGTTAGTATTTCTACCATACTGTACAGTGGCTATTGAATAATGATACACAATAAACAAGAATATTTTTTGTACAGGTGTCCAGTCCAAGCTCAACAGAGCCTGTTGGGCTTCATATATATTTGAACCATGTTAAGGTAAATTTTTGCACACATACCGAGGGATCTGAGTCTAATTTCGCTGGTGGATAAGACAATGGAGAGGGGGGGTTGGAGCTGTCACGTATGCAAACATATGTCTTCTCATATGTGGCAGAGAGAAAGCAGGTCTTACCTTATTGTGTCATCCATCAGTCGGTCCGAGCTACAAACAAAAAGTAGGAGAGGGGGGAAGGGAGGAAAATACAGACGCTGGTTAGTTATTGACATGAGGCAGTGAAGTACAACATGAAATGGTTATAAACCAATCAAGTGAGGGCAATTATCGGTATTACTCTCAGATTGGCAGTGATCAATATTGAATTCACGTTACTTGGTAACACAGAACTGATTGGAACTTGATTTCCTTTTCTTCTCTCTGTATCAATCTAATCAACTCCCACATCGTGACTATCCCACCAGTCTGGCGGAACATGCATAATGTAATATGATTCTTCCCACTAATGTCAGTGTGGTCACATATCTTGAGCTAACTGACACAAACAACACAAAGTCTTATTTGTTAAAACGTTGTGTGGACAACTTAAAAAACAATTAGGGTTTAAATCCCAAGTAAAATTGCTAGCAAATAAATATCTGCACAAAACAGTGTGACTGTTAATTCATCTTCCCCTCATGGATGATCCCCACAACAACAGGGAGTCTGGACTAAGACGACCCAGAGAGGAATCCACCTTAGGGATCCTGGAGCTTCTGCATAGCTTCAACAAACAGGGAGTGTCAGATGCTAGCTTTTGTCCTGCAGAGAATACTGGAAGGCACACACACACACACACACACACACACACCCACACCCATGCACACAAACCTCTAATGTTGTAACACCAGTTTCATGTCTCGGGTTGCTCATAAACAACAATGCTCTCAGCGGTTTATTCCCTAATTGGAATCAATTTGGATAATGTTGCAGAGAACTAAAGTAAACCAAACAAACAAAACTGCAGGGATTGTATTTCACAGTTCAACATCCATTCAGCTTCTATTCAACAACTCCACATCCTCTTTGTCCAGCTCCATATGTGGTTTCCGTTAAGCTCTTAGCGTCCTTATGCATCTAACCAAACTTACAGGAAGAGAAGGAAGGTCTCTCAAAGATTGCCTCGATCCACACTACACTCTTACCAAACCACAGCCATCTGCACCCTTTCCCTAAATCTTCTCTTTATACCTTATCTTGACCATCTCAAAGCTTATGAACCTAATTTACTGCTTTGCTGCTAAATCACAGTGCTTGTGCTCATCAAAGCTCAATATATACAGTTTTCTTACTCCATAGGGGAAATATTTTACCAGCATGCACAATACCAGGAACCTGAAACTGAAGCTGCAAACCAGAATTCAGTCATCCTACTGTGACATATCAAAAAAGGTCAATCTTAAATGTCGGATGTTACAGTCACACCCTGGTCCATTGTCTTAAAGAAATACTTCAACCTCTACCCATCAAATGACCATTTTTATGTCAATTTCTCAACCCGTGTTACACTGAATTCATGAAGAAAAATCAGATTCACCAAAAAATATATAATAAACTAGCTGATAAAGGCAGCAATAGTCCAGCAGCTTCCATGTTCAGCGAGGTACAATTACTGTATTTGTCACTGGAGTCTGGCTTTGACGACAGCATCGATACGTTCCACTTTTAATTCAGGTTCCCGTCAGAAAGGGCTGTCAGTTTGGAAGTACTGAGCATACAACTGGATAAATGAGACTTGGATGGTACCGTAGAAGTTGCTGTTGTTAAATGCGGTTGCCTATGACTTCACTGCAGGTACGCAAGAAAAACAAAATTTCTTTACGAATTCAACATAACGGGGTGAATAATTAATATACAAACAGTCATGTCTGCAGCTGTTTTCTTTCAGAGCGAAGGGAAAACATGCCATGCGGCTCTGCATGTGCACATGCATTGCTGGCAAGTGTGTGTGCTGAGTTCACAGTTTTTATTCCATCTAACAGATGCTGGGCAGCCCTCAAAGGAGTTTCAAAGATCCAGTTTGTCAAAAATGATGAATTCAAGGAGAACGTAATAATCTCAAAAGAAAAGCAAATTCATTATTCCAGAAGGAGCACCGCAAAGCTCATTCAGGCAGACCAAATGTGACAGCATTGCAACTACAAAACCAAGCAATGCCATAAAGAGGCCCTACTTTAATATGATTGTGGGCCACACAAGTGACCATGTCCAGGTCGCTGATGTGGTCAAGTATTGACCAACTGATGTCTCAGAGGACAGACCATGTACTGGGTTATATATTGATGTAATCAGGTTGAGATTAGTCCTGTAAATTACCTGTAATGTTAGGGTCCTGTTCCTGCAGGGGGGCAAACAAGACTGACCTCAGCCAGTAAGTGTTTCATTCATTCATTGTTGGGTTTAATTGCTTTGATCCCAAGAGTGTTGCCCATAAGAATGGATACTGTAAGTGACACCTCACAGTTACAGTGTGGGCTGGACAGCCTTCTTTTATTGGGTCAGAGCTCCGCACACAAGCACGAAAGTGCTATTTGACAGTAGTTTGTAATATATCTGTTGACTCTGTCACAATGACATGGAATCATTTACAGCAATTATGTCATCTGGTGAAATGACAATTTGCACCTAATTCGGAAAGAAGTGTAGCGTCCACCCTCTGGTTCCCCTGGTTAACACTGTTAGCTCTGTCAGCTCTGTTGCTGTTGTTAAGTGCTGATCAGTGAGTTAGCACCATTAGCTGCTAGCCACTGGCTCAGCCACCTCCTTGTCTAGAACCGTGTCCAGACAAATCATACACTCTGAATCTTGCGTAAAGCTCCTTTACAACAACTGACTGTCATTTAAAAATTCTTATTAACCTACTGTGCTTATTTCATTATTAGGTAGATAAGATCTAGCAGACATACAGACTGTATGTCTGAAACAGAAAAAATGGACAACTTAGCCACATAACACAAGTCTTGAATGATGGAGGAAAAAACATGATGGACAAACGACTGACAGAAAACTAAACCTTTAACAGTCTGTCTGCCAGCAGTATTCACCTTATAAATCCTGAGCTGAGGAGCAAAAGGGAAGTAATGGGAGGCCAGGAGCTGAGGTAAGCCTTGATTTATGGAGTTTTTATATGCAGAGATGAGATGGAGCAAAAGATTTATGCTCTGTTCCTTAATCATCAAGGTGCAGCTGTAGTGGTGAGGTTGATTATGCCATCCCGTTTATGTATTTGTGGCCCTCTGTGGTTTTAGCTTTGAGTGGGTTCCTTCTATTTTCCCCTGGTCAGCGGCGTTTTGCTGCAGTCATTATATCGCTCATTAGCTCCAAGCTAATTGCCCTTCCCAGTGTGATGTATCAACCCACACTCGCCTGCATGTTTCCTTGCCCTGTCTTGCCATTCACACACACAGAGAAACATACAGACTGCTTTTTGCTTATACGCCTGTGTCTTTTTGTTTGCATTCAGGACTACTAGTGGTAGAATTCATTCTGCCTGCACTGGCAGCGTTATGCAGGTACCACTCAAAGCCTAAACAAGCTCAAAGATTAACAGATAATAAACAAATTGATGACTTACTTGTTTTCTGTTGACTCATCAATTATTTGACCATTGAAGTGAAATTCTGAAAGGAGATGCTTTGCAGCAGCCTTCTGAGAGTAATGCTCTGTCGGATTGGCTTTTAGAACAATGTGAGGAAACTAATACAATCAGCCAGGTAAACTGAAACATTAATTACTTTGCTGAGGAAACAGTCCAGCAAATCTTGGCAACAGCTGCAGAAAGCAAACTGTATCAGCAAAGAGGGAAAAGTGGTCACAAATCAAAGCTCAGAGCTGCATACTCAGCACACCGTACGAATTGTGAGATTCACAGACATGATCTCTACAGTACTGCTGCCATTCACAAACCTTGGCCAATTAATACAGGACTCTCATAGATGCTGAGAATCTTTAGGGACCTGGGGTTGTTATTTTTTCTGATTTGGACACAACATTTGAAAACAGAAAGGCATTTTGAAAATGGTTATATCACCTGCCATTTCCGTGAGCCCACGTGAGCACACAATTAAAAATAGCAGGACAAAAAAAAAAAAAAAAAAAAAATCTAAAAACCTCCCTGGAGATATTTTTATTTAATATCATTTGTCTGCTGGATCAAATACCTATGTGTAACAAGAGCTACAAACTATTCCTCCATTCTGTTATAGGCAGTACAGCTGGTGGTGAAATAGCTGTGGTGATTCAAAACATTTTTCAGATGGGAAGCCCTTGGGCAAATACTACACCAAGCACCCCAAAGCGCCATCAGCACATACCAGCAAGCAGCAAAACACTCCAAACCCACTGGAATCAATTAAGCAAGAAAAGGTGTCTTCTTTCACAACAAAGTGGCGATAAATGGTACATGCTTGTCTGTGAACATGGTTGATGCACTCCACAAGAGTGCCATCATTTACATGCTCGGGTCCGGCTTTTTTGTCTAGTGGCTTATCTTGATAGCCAGCTAGATGTAAAGCAAAGAAATTTACTGACCCAAATGTTCGGGACATTTCTCACATTCTTGGTGGGCAAACCTCTGACTGAACTTCTAAACCTTATAAACTGATCTGGATCTCTTTGGTGAGCAAGAGAGAGCAGGGCAGCACTTTATCCTGAATCCTCTGAGCTTTCCCTTCACTGATAACATAAGCATATCAGGAAGCTGGCAGCAGAGATCAGACTTTTAAAATGGACAAGCCGGCAGACAAAAAGCAGGGATCCTGAACTTGGGGACATGAAGAGACGAACAGAGAAGAGAGAGTAAGAATGAGATAAGCTGTAGCTGGTAAACAGTTTGGTTAAAATGCTTGGGAAACCCTTTTAAAAGACGACGCACCAATAAACATACCTATACTTTTAGATTTTTGTTAACTAAGTCTTTTTCATCACTTCACAATGCACCACACGCAATACAGTCTCGCTGTTTTACAATATATGACATTTTGTTACAAATGAGACCTTGCTGAAAGCAAAGCAAGACTGGAGAAGTGGGTTGGGTTATATTGGCCATCAGGGCTCTAGAAGTAAAAGCCCAAATTATTTTCCCCATAAATCTCTTTTGTTACTAGCCAACTGAGCATTTCAATCATTTGGATGGCCAATAAACTGTCATAATTTAATCACGCCAACTG